TTTGCATGTGAAAGTTATTATATTGGAGCTCTCCAAAACTTGAAGGCACAAATTAGTTTTACCTTGAATTTATAGCCAGACAATATGGCTTAACATATAGGAATTGTGTGATAATAATAATCAGAGGGCAATGCTGAAAACTAGAGCACTTCTTGAATACTCATTAAGAAATCTCTTTTAAAATTCACTCCTTTATTTAATGTAACAGTATATGATGCAATAGTTTGTCAGTTTCATTTAAGAATATTGGGTTAAATGGTAGCTACATAACATTTTCAGCATGTTGACAAAGCTGTTTTTGATAACTGCTTAGTTTTTGTTGCTAGAACCTTCCATAGTACAGGACTTAATTTTTAAAAATGGAATCATTGGCTGCCGAGCATAGATTTGGAGGTTATCTAGCCCAATTCTCCCATTTCACAGATGAGGAAAGTGAGGTTAAGTGACAGACTAGGTCACACAGGTAGCATTAACCAGGGTGGGATTTGAACATAGGTCCTCAATATTAGTGCTCATTTCACTGTATCATGCTAATTCCTATTACTGTTAGTAAGAAGTCCGTATGGACCCCTGTGCTCATCTCCTATGTTCAAATCTTGTGGAAACCTGGCACAAAGTCTAACTTCAGAGCTGAAAGAAATAAGAAGGAATACTGGAATACGTAAAATAATTTCTAAGAGATTAATTTATTCTTTTCTAAAAATAATGATTTAAAAATACTGAAAGATTCCTTTAAAAGATTATATTTGAATAAAAACTATCACATTCTAATATTTAACTTAATGTAACATTTCATACACTGAAAAACCTTTTTTTTCCCTCAAAGATGACATTATCAGTGGTTTACAAAATGATTATGATTACTTGAAGGGCTTGGCTTAGGAAATCTAGCCCTGACATACATTACTTTTATGGAAAAATAAATTTATCTCAATTGGCTCTTAATGTCAGCTGAAGAAGGAAACTATTTAAAATTAGCTGCCAGACAAAGAAATGATCTTAGTTGAAATTAGAATGTATTTCACAAAAGGATGAACTGACGAAACTGACTTTTGGGTAGTATGAGCCTTATAACACAGAACATTATTACCGCAAATATATTGCAGATTTGGTTTCTGGAAACTGGAATCCTCTTTTCTTTCTCAAAACTCTATCAACCTCATCGGCTGGGACAATATCTTGCAATGCTTGGAAAATCTTTTTGAGGAGTACAACTGTTCCAATGTAAACTTTCATGGAACCTTTTGGTGCACTGTGCAGAATCAATAAAAACAAATTAACTGAAATAACAGCTGGGCTAATCATGAGCAAGTTTAAAATGATAAGACTTGAATTAAGGTTTTTCCAGATGCCAATAGACTCAACTAATTACCACATGCTGTCACAGTCAGAGCAGCCAGGGTCTTGTGATTGAGACTTTTGTTGTCCAAAGGCGATGAAAATAAGGTGGAGAAAGTTTCCAGGGCCAATAATGAAGACTTGGAGGATTCAGGCCTCTTTATGACCCATTCCCAATCTGCTCCTGGAAGAGAAGGGTGCCTTAGGGAAGGGCCCTAAGGGTACACTATGCCGGGTATAGAGCCACATGGAAACAAGGAATTAAGCATTTTGATTCTGCTCCCCTCAAAAAAGAGGAAGAAGAGAAAAGAGAACAAAACAAATCAGCCCCTTCCTCTGAACCTTCTAAGATGACTATGAAGAAAAGACTTTCCTGACTTAGCTGGTCATTTAAGTAAAGATTCTGGTTGTTGTTTTTGTCAGGTTAACTTGGTGCTTCTGAAAACGGAAGGATTTTCTTCATTTAAAAATCTCAGGTCGGCTTTCTAATGATTTCATTAACTCACTCTAAATTGCCAGCATGGTAAAGATGTAATGTGTCACTCAGGTCCTCATCTTTATTTCAGGCTAGTGATGGAAGGGAACGCAGGGAAACTTACACACTGTATTATCTCCTGCAATGAGAACACCACCAACCCCAAATCAAATGGCTTTCTTCCATCCAGGGCCTCAACAACATCCCCCATAAATTAGCAATGTTCAGAAGAAGACTCGGTCACATTCTATAGATTATTTTCAGGAAGAGCACTGCCATCCAGAATACATTTGAGCCTCTTTCTAGTTGAAGATTTATCAATATTTTTTATTGATGGGTTATGATTATTGACACAGGAGATATTCATTGTTTATTGAAAGCTTGTTTACATAAAAGATTTTCACAGGCTACCCCCTAAGTCTAGAGGTCCTAAACCAGTGTCAGGGAGCTGTCTGGGTATTTCTTCCCACGTATTGCATTGCTATTCTGCCAACAATAGAGGCCCATTAACGTTTGGCCCTTCAAGTTAGTGCAGCCCAAGCCTTAGTGGAAGGACGTCTGCCCAATATGTAAAATAACAGAATGAATGGATTCCTTGGAAACAATGATAACAAGACCGGGCTGAGCTAACTGTGACAGCATGTGGTAATTTTCCAGCCCGATGGCCCTGTAAAGGGAACTGGAACACAAAGCACAGGCTGCAGGGAGGGTTGGCCTGAATAGTTGCAAACAAGTGCAGAATATCTGATGATGTCATACACACAGTTTGACAGATGGGGCTGGACAATTCTCCCCCCTCCCGTTCCCCTCTTTCAAATGTGCATTTAACTATTTGTATTCCACCGGGCTAGCACTTGAGGAGTTCAATCCTGTAATCACCTGCTTGAAAGACTAAACAAGCCTTGACAGTCATGCACTTGATTCAAGTACCACCAGTTTTATGAAGAAAAATGATATCCATTATGAGTGTGTGAATGCTAAGGAAACAGTGGGGGAGAGTAGCTGTGGATTAATGCATCATCTCTGTTTGCAGCAGTGGGGCCAGGTTTTGAGTCGAGCTCCGACTGAATCCAGCTCTACACTTTGAATAGCATAATGAAGTATTGTAACTGCCTCAGTCTAGTCATTACATCAAGGAAACAGACAGCTAAAGTTATCAAAACTGATTACTAGCTGAGCTTTTGTGTCTGTAAAATAAATGGGTTAAAAGAAGGGGTTTTGGGGTATTTTTCGGTCTTAGGGGTGTTCTCTCAAAGTTGGATGTTTTTGTGTTCGTGGCAGTATGTGTCACTGGGTAGAAGCCTGTGTTAGGGCATGTCTGGAGGCAGCAGAGCTCTGAGAATGGATGAGTGTGTGTGTGTCCGTGTGCGTGCGTGTGTTTTAGTTGGGGAGTGAGAGATAGAGAAAATGAAGATTGACAACATTTATAAAAATGGAGACACAACCCCATTAAAATTCACCAAAAATAGCAAATGAACCAGTGTCCTCTGTTTAATTACAATGACTTCAGATAGTCTCTCCTTTTTCCTTCAAAAAAAAAAAAGTAGCTGCTCTGGTTACCAAATGTCTTTTGCCACTTTCTTCACATAGTTCTTTTTTATTTGCTTTTCAAGGAATTTATGTAAATATATGTAGGCTAAAGAAGAATGGGTCCCAGATAGGTTTTATCCTTTAATCTTTTCATCAAATAGCTAACAAAGTAAGATAGCCAGAGGGTTCCATTTATGGAGAAGAGATATCTGTCCCACAGAGAAATAGGTGGCACTACTCATTCCAGTGCAGAAAGTATAATCATAGCACAAAATGCTAATAAAATTAATGATTGGTATTTATAAAATTCCTTTTATCAAGGGATCACAAAATACTAAGAACTCCCATCTGTAAGGCTAGTCTGATACTAGAAGTTATCCCAAAGGTAACATCACCTGCCCTAGTTAACAAGCTCTTTTGGATAGAAAAGAAACAGAGAGATTTAAATAAGTGAACAGGATCCTCAATTCTGCTGGGACCACCTTATCTAGCTCCCTTCATGGATGTGAGATGGAGAAGATCATCACTGTGCTTTCATTGTTCATTCACTAATTTATCTGAGTATATACAGAGACCATTCATTCTATGTAGTGAATTCTTTGCACTTCTACTGGAAGAATTTTATGTTTCTTTAAATCATCATAACAAACCTCTGTTCTGAAAGCTCACCACTGGTTACATTTGAGCGACAGAATTGCTGTCCACATATAGCCACTGGTTCCATTGCGTTGAGTATCCCAACCAGTCAATATGCATTTGACATGGAAATACTAACTATACTACTCATATTACACATAAAGAGGAGCAATGCTTTGCCTTCCACATAAATCCCTGGGGGGACTGATGCAAAATAAGCAAAATTTCTGCTAGTTTGGAATTGGTAGAGTTCCCTATGTATTTCAGAAGGCCAAATAGGTTTAATGCCAATGGTGCTTTGTCTCCAGCCTGAGGCTACAGAAATGTGGGCATGTTGGTAGGCACTAAGGTTCTGAGAATGTGTGAGTATGTGTGTTCATATGCATGTGTCAGTGTGTGTATATGTGTGCGTTGGGGAGTAAAAGAGAAAGTGAAGAGTAAATAACAAGAATATTCAACACTCACAGTAAGAAATCTGACGATGCCGGTGGGCTCTTTTTAGAGACCCATTTCTTGAGTCAGCGAACTATATGGAACTCCTTTTGAAGGCATCAATATATCAGTCATTCCCAAGGGCAAGATGAGAAATCAGTTCTCCCTATATGTTATAAGAATGTAAGGAAATACAGTGTCCTTTGTTCCCACTGCTACCTACCATATGAGGTAATAATCGTGTTCTTATGGTGCAATGGTTAGAGTGTTAGACCTGAGTTCAAATCCTGCCCCAGACACTCATTAGATGAGTGACCCAGAAGGAGATTTGACAGGCAATATAGGTCATTTCCAAAGTCATATAGCCTGGGCAGGTATAGAGAAGTTATGATTTACATCACTGGAGGGTTTATCCACATTGATTCTATCATAGATCCATCGGAATATTAAAGTTAGGAACCATAAATAGTCAGATCAATGATCCATTTGGTCTATTCATTCTGTTTCATAGAGAAATATCAAAGGACATTTCATGGAAGGGTGTGAGCCATCATAGAATCACAAAAGATATTCTCCAACATCCCCACATTATCTTAAAATTTAGTCATAGATCTACCATCCATAAATGTATCTGAATCCTTCAGAATCCCACTTACAGGTAGCTTTTGCCATTTCCTGGAATAAAAGGTTTCCCATTTACCTGCCCACTGGCAGATAGACACTGTCAATCGTCAAGGTGTTCCCTCCCCACCCCATCATATCCAGTGTTTCTAAGATTTGTTAAACAGGTCTCTGTTCAACTTATTCATACCCTGCATGATTTTGTGAAATTTGATCATCTCTCTCACTTCCTTTTTTAATCTCTCCCAAATGAAAAACCTTGCATCTCTTTGGTCATTTCACTTGTTCTTCTCTGAAATTTTTCAAGTCTCATTATGTCTCTCTTGAGTTTCTTCAGCTTCTGGAAGTTGAAATGTGTTCTCTGAACCTATTGATCCAAAACAAAAGAGCAAAAACTCAGTCAGATCCTTGTTCAAACTGGAGCTTAAGTGCAATAGCATAATGTTCTTAGTAGCATTTACTGGGACGTTAGAGAAACTGCTTAAATAAAGTGGCTTTTACTCTTCGCATGGAGATCAAGGACACAATGTGATGGCAGGAGGGGTTTAAAGACACATTTCCTGAGAATACCAGACAAAGAATTCCATGTAGCTTTGACCTATCAGCAATAAACTTTTCCATTTTTTTAAAAAAAGTGAATTTTGGAATTGTGACCTGTACATAATGGGAACTGAGTTATGGTCCTGGTATCAATTAGATTTATCAGCTGTGTCATAGGATCATAGATTTGGAAATGGAGTGGACCTTAGAGGCCATCTGGTCTCATATGGTCATTTTACAGATAAGGAAACTCAGTCAAGAGAACTTTATGTTGCATTCCTGACAGGATAACATAGGTGAAAAAGGCAGAATATGAACCAACATTTTCTTAATCCAATGTCAGTATTCTTTCCACTGTACCATGATGTCTCTCAAGTCATTTCATCAGTCTGAATCTTAACTTCTTCATCTGTACAGCTCAAAAATTTTTGAGAGCAATTTGGAATTATGCCCAAAGAGTTATTAAACTGTCTACACCCTTTGACCCAGCAATACCACCATTAGGTCTATTTCCAAAGATGATTAGAGAAAACAGAAAAGAACTTATATGTTTTAAAATGCTTATAGCAGCTCTCTTTGTGGTGGCAAAGAACTTGAAATTGTGGGGATGCCTGTTAATTGGGGAATGGCTGAACAAGTTGTTGTATATGATTGTGACGGAATACTACTGTGCCATGAAAAATAATGAGCTTGATGGTCTTAGAAAAACATGGATAGACTTGCACGAAATAATGAGGAAAATGAACAGAACCAAGAAAACAGTGTATACAGTAACAACAATATTGTTTTAAGAACAACTCTGAGCAAATAAGCAATTTTGACTATTATAAATACCCAAATTAACTACAAAGGATCTATGAAGGAAGATGCTATCTACATACAAAGGGGGAAAAAAACTGACAAAAAGAAGTATATGTAGAATAATTTTACATAGAGATATACCTATTTGTGTGTAAGGGTAGCCATCTCTAGGGCAGGGGGAGGGATGGTGGAGAGAGTGATTAGGTGTGAGAGGAGTGAAGGGGAAAAAAAGGAAAAAAAAGAAATTTACATGGAACCTATTACATATTTAAAAGGAATAGCAAGTTGTACATAATAGCAGTTTTATGTGCAATAATCTTTTTAAATTATATTATGTTATGGAAATGCTTGTATTATTCCATAATTTAAAAATAAAATAAAAATTGCAGGAAAAAAGAATCAATATACTTATTAAGTGCCTACTATGTGATGATGTTGAGATACAAAGACAAAATTGAAACAGTCCCTGTCCTCAAACAGCTTCATCCTAATAGGTAGATGTGTTCATAAATAGGCATATACAGGATACTCACAAAGTTCACACAAAGTTGCTCTTAGAGGATTATGGAGGACTCAGGGAACTAAGCTGAGTCTTAAAGAAAACTGGGAACTCCAAAGGGATGGACTTGAGGATGGAGAGTATTTTATGCATGGGGGGCAGCCAACACAAAGTCTTGGAGACTAGATAAAGAATCATGAATGAGGAATAAGTAGGCTCATGTGCCCAGATCGTAGAGTTCTTAGAGGGAAGGGATGTGTCAAAGGATTGGACAGGTAGAAAGAGATCAGATTGTGACAAGCTTAAATGGAGGTGTTTATATTTGATCTTAGAGGTTATAGAGGACCACTGGAGTTTATTGATTTGGTCAAACTTTTACTTCAGAAGAATCACTTTGGCATCTGTATGAAGGGAAGATTGGAGTAAGAAGAGACTTGAGTCAAGGAGAGCAATTAGGAGGCTATTATAATAGACCAGGCAAGAGTGTTGAGGCTTTGAACAAAGGAAGTGAAAGTGTGAGTTCAGGGAAAAGGAAGTATACAAGAGTGGAAGAGGCTAGACTAGCTAAATACTAACATCCCTTTCAGCTCTGAAATTTTGATTCTATAATACGATAGTCTATTTTTTAATCACAGAATTACAGAATTTGTACTTGGAAATTACCTGATAGATCATTGAGTTCAACTCCCTTATTTAACAGACAAAGATGCTGAGGCCCAGAGAAGTTAAGGGACTTACCATTAGAGACTGTAAGCTCACTGAAGTCAGTAACTATTTTTGTCTTATTTTGTACCCTCTGTGTTTATACAGTACTTGGCACAAAGTAGGTACTTAAATGCATATTGACTTGCTTGACTTGACTAAAGTCACACAGATAATAATAAGAGAACTGCTATCTGAATCCATGCTTGACATGTGGTAGGTGCTTAATAAATGCTTCTTTGATTATTTGAATTGTCTAAAGTCCTACAGGTAATGAGAAGAGACCTGCAATTTGATTCCAACTTCTTTGAATTCAGATCTAATATTCTTCCAGCTATAGCACATTACCTTGATAGGTCCCTATAGATAGAAAGAGACAGAGACATAAATACATGCTATCAAGAAATAAGAGGTAGAGTGACATGATCAATAGAGAGCTAGCCTTTGCAGTCCGAAAGACCTACTTTAAAGCCCCTGTCATACACTTCCTCTTGCTTAACTTCTCTGTACCCATGCAGATAAGACTCTAAGAGTCTAAGCTAAGGAGGGAGAAAGGAAGAAAACAAACATTTATTAAGCACCTACTATGTATCAGGCATTGTACTAAGCACAAATGTGATGTCATTAGATTTTCACAACAACCCTGGGATTATTATCACAACTTTATAGATTAGGCAACTGGGGCAACCAGAGGTGGTTAAATGACTTGCCTAGGGTCACAGTGTTGGAGGCCATCTTTGAACTTAATTCTTCTTGGGCTCCAGTCAGAGCTCTCTAGCCACTTTCCAAAGAGAAGTTGCTAATCTTTATTAGCCACAGTTCTTCACTGGGAACTCCTTAAGTTGATCAAATCCAAAGTCTAGTCCCCCCATTCACCCCCAAAGTGAAGCTCTTTAAATTCCGCCTATTGTTTATAAATAAAATTTAGAAAACACAAGGAAGTTGTGGGGTTTTTTCTCTCTCTACTCCTAATACATGGCAAACCCACTTTCTCACCCTGCCAATCAGTGCTCCATCTTTACGGCAGTACGTTGACATTTTTTTTCCTGCTGAATCTGTTGTAACCAGCAGTTGAAGACAAAAATGCAAACAGGGCAAATATCCTTTGGAAGATACATTGCCTTAGTGTTTCTGAGGCCACCTCACCCAACCCCCACAGTAACTTTAAATTCCTTGTCAATCTTCAAAAAGCTTATCTATGAAGCATTTCATTCACTTTGTTCACCTTTATGAATGAGATGAAGGTTGAATTCTGACAATAGGTTAGCAGTATCAAAATATGCTGAGATCTTTTCTTAAATTTCTATGTATGTTCTCTTTCCCTTAAAAAAATAAAAACTGTATTTTAAAAATAAATGTTATAAATAAATAATAAATTATTTAAATAAATAAAATTACAATCTGCTCTAGAATATTCTATCTTAAGCTCCATTAAGGGGAATAAACAATTCCCAGTAAAGGCATGAAATCTTTGGAGAGGTACGTGGGAACTCTTTTAGGTCGTGACCCAGGTGGTCAGTGTTAACACCTTCAAAGGAAGTAGAAAATGGGGGCAAAAAAATCCCTTCTCCTCCCCGAAAAACCTCACAAATCAATACATTTTCCCTCTATTTTGCTAGGTTAAGTTAAAATGAAGGTGGCTAAAAGGAGTAGGAGGAGGAATAACTCTCTTCAGGCCCCACTTCCCATCTCCTGTCTGAGTTCAGACTTTGTCATTTATTGCTGTGGTATATAAAGTGATGCATGCTGATACAGACCTGCAATCCTATTCCTAATTAGGAAAGGTTGCTTCAGGCTCTGACCAAACAGAGCACTTGTCAATTAAATACTTATACAGGATTGTACTATAGTATGACTACTTTAAAGAGGCCTCATTCCACAAAATATGATTTCTTCAACCATAAAAAGAATATCTATCTTCAATATCTAAAGTGTCTTTCATATGAAGTGCTCTGCATCCTTTTTTCCAGAAATGGAGAGTTTTTGAAACTGGCCGCCCTGTATAATAAAATTACATCACCAGACTAGATGAGATGTGTGAATGGAAAACACAGAATTCCTCCATGCAAACAATTCATTTTTATTCATGCTAGAGGGCACATTTTTAAAAGAGAGGCCTTCCTGGGCTGAACCTATATAAAATCCTTTTTTATGTATGTAGGCATTTTCTTAGGTGCATTAATTCTTTTGGCCATTAATACACCATCAGGGTCAGACAGAAACACAGGGAAGGGGGCATTTGCTGATGAGTCCCCTCCCCATGGACTCTTTCTTTAGAATCTAGAGGCCCTGTCTGAAGGATGGGGGTCCGTCACCCCTACCCTGATGCCCTCCTCAGTCTGAGTCTGGGTACCATTAATGCATTGGAGCAGCAATTTTACTAAATGGTACCTTAGTGGCCCCTCTTGCAAGAGGAAGTGTGAATACTGTCAAAGCCCTTTCCTCACTAGCAATGGAATCACAGGTCAGAAAACATCTTTAGCAAGCATAAATTATTAGGCTCACTATGAAAGAAGGCTGACAGATGAAACAGGAATTTCCATGAGTGAACAATACGGCTTCGATTCAAAGGCTGCTGATTGGGTGTTCAGCCTTCCAGCATAAACAGCTATTCAAATTTTAAACTGTAACCAAGTGAATAAAGAGAAGGAATGCCACGGCCACCTCGGGTTCTTCAGAATGAATTCAACAAGAGAAGTGATATAAATAAAATGTCAACCTCTAGGTTGAGGGTTCCTTCTTCACAAGGGTGCTACACAGCCCATGAAACAGAGGGCTAGTGTGTTTCAGACTAAAGCCAGGCCTGGAAACCTGGAGAGCTGAGC